TACGGCGACATTATCGGCTTATTGTCATTCAGTGGCTTACGTTGTTTGTGCCGTGTGGAGGCTGTAAAAAGTCGCCCCGTACATTCAATCAGGGATGTTATATTTCCGATCCTAAAAGCTCGTTCAGCACGACATTGTTGTTGTGCCTGTGGTAATTTAGTTCTTTCTATTCGGTTATTTTCTTGTTTGGTGGTTCCAGTATTCCTTACTTGAATACTGTTGAATCACCCCTAGGATATGTGGCCTGCTTTTAAATTTTTATGTTGACGTCTTTTCTGTGATATGCAGGCTTCATAACCTCTGATCCCCTTTCAAAATTCTATTGTATATAGTTCCGCCCATTGTTTTTTCGTTTAGGGCATACGATTTTTTTTTACTTGGGGACCATATGCCGCTTTTCATGTAATGGCACGTACGTGTCACATTGAAGGTTCCATGATAACCGCCATATGAACACATCTGCGGATGTTTAAAAATTCAAAATTGTACCAGTTCATGTTAGATGTTGATTTCTGCTTAAGCCGGTGCTAGGGGGTGTGGACGGTAGTTTGCATTTTGACAGTACCGTCCATGAACAGGCTAAATCAAACCGAGTCTGCAACATTTTACAATTTTGCCGTGTTGGGCTTTCTTTAGGGATTCTGATTTCTCTATTTTACATTTCTTACACCTGTCACTTCGATGTGGTGAATGCTTACAATATGCGGCATTTTAGAGAAGCAGAGTTATGGAGGGCTGTAGGGATGGATGGTGCAGCCGAGGTCCAGGTTGGTGCGGCGCTTTGTGTACACCACACCGTCATCACCAGAGCTTTGGAGAGATACTGGCTACATGGTTCACCCGCCAGGATGCATGCTGGAGGTCGGTAAAGGGTCACAACACCAGCTCAGGAACAATTTTTGCTCGTTCAGGCACGAAGTTTAAGGGTTTCGACAGCAACTTCTCTTTGAAATGACCTTCCACGCAGACGGCACGTAGAAAGCTGCATGAAGGTAATTTGCGAGAAGACCTTGCATACGTATACCCTTGACGCGTCGACTTCGTCAGGCCCGTTTTAAATGAATCATGGAGCATACACGGTGGACCATGCAACACTGGAGACACGTTCTGTTCACTGTTGAATCCCGGTTCTGCATAAACTTTAATGATAGGCGTGCTAGAGTCTGGCGAAGATGGGTGAACGGTTTCAGGTTGCAAATATTGCTGCACATGACTGCTACGGAGATGGGTGAGTTATGGTGTGGGAAGGCATCAGCTGGGATAGACTTGGTTGTGCTAAATAGAGCACATTGACATGTCAGAGATACATAGACGACAACTAAGACAACCAGGTCAAGTTGTATACTTCATATATATATAAGTTGTAAGTTCATTCTAATTGACGATAATGCTCGCCCCCAAATGGCCAGGGTGGTACAAAACTACCTAGAAAGGAAGTCTATTGATGGCATGGACTGGTCAGCTCGCTCACCCGACTTAAATCCAACAGAACACATGTGGGATGAGCTGCAGGATAGAATTTCAGCTCGTCAGCTGCAACCCAGTATCATCCAAGAGCTGTGAGTCATGTTGGTCCAAGAATGGGCAGCCATTCCCGTTAGAACGATCAAAACCCTAATAGGGAGTATGAGAAGGTGTTGACAAGCTGTAATTGAAAGTCAAGGGTCACACACACGGTATTCAGTCTAAAACTGTAAACAAAAAATCAAATTTAACAAATTTGGAAAACACGCTGCATGTTCTGAAATCTTCAAAGAGGGGTCATCTTCTTCTCTAACACAAAATCTGTATAAAAATCATTTATAAGGTTAAATTCGTCCTTCAGCTGAATTGATAAAACAGTAAATCAACATTTAAAACTTTTCGCACGGCGTTAATAAAATTATCACAAAAAATATTCACATTCAAACATGTGATGCTTAGCAAAATTTGAGTAGTACATATTTGTCACTTGTCTGCCAATATATTTCTTTATGAAAAATTAGCCTGCAATATTTACAATTTTGCCTTTTTTGGCGTTCATTAGGGAATTCTGTTTCTCTCTTTTTTCCATCAGATCAACGTTTATTGTGCCATGTGGAGGCTGTAAAAACTACCCTGTACATTCAATCAATTGCCGAATCTTGCAGTTCGTTCAGCACGACATTGTTGTGTAAGTGGTATTTTGATTATGCTCTTCTTACATTTTCTAGTCGGTTGGTTCCACTATCCCAACTTGAAGATCGTTCAGCACGACATTATTGTTGTGTATACATTTAAAATGGTATTTTCCGTTTTTTGTATTTGGCCTTTTTCAATTTGGGTGGTTCAAGTATTCCCACTTGAATAAAAGACGTTAAAAAGCAGGCAACATATCCTTAGGGTGATTATACAGAATTCAAGTGGGAATACTGTATAATCACCCTAAGGATATGTTGCCTGCTTTTTATATTTGTCTTTTGACGTCGTGTCTGTAATATGCAAGCTTCATATCCTCAGATCCCCTTTCTAAATTCCATTTTATGTAGTTCCGCCCATTGTTTTCTCGTTTAGGGCACACACATTATTTTACTTAGGGACCATACGCCGCTTTTCATGGAATGACACTACTGTGGAAGGTTCCATGATAAACGCCGTATAGTATGAATATATCTGCGGATGTTTCTAAGTTCCAAATTTCACAATTTTTGTGTTTCAATGTTGAATTCTGCTTAAGCCGGTGCTAGGGGCGTGGATGGTAACATGCACTTTCCAGTACCCTCCATGAACAGGCTCAATCAAACAGAGCCTGCAATATTTTACAATTTTGCCGTGTTGGGCTTTCTTTATGGGTTCTGTTTTTCACTATTTCATTTGAATACTGTTAGTACCCCAAGGATGTATTGAATGAATGAAGACATGCTATGTTTAGAAGCAGATTCCTTTATCCACTGACTGTGACAATAATTCTATTCAATTATATATATTTAATCACTTAACAATGTGTATATCATTTTGCACAATCATACAAGAGCCATCTCTAAAATTTGAATAGTGTTTGCGGAACGACTGATGTTGCATTTTTTCATTGTTCTGACTTTGAATCGAGTGACTTTGAGATTAATTGAAATATGTTTGGACTGCCTTGGACACGTTTGATTGCATTTGCAAGTATACACCTAGCACGAAAATGTTATTTATAAGTCTTACTGGAATGAGACATGACAAAATAAATGCAAACATTAGTACACAATTGAGAAAAGAAACTTTGAAATGCAAATCATTATCTTTAGTTTACTTACTATAGTTAATGATATTTTGACAGTATCTTGCCTTTACCAGTATCGTGCGTTAGTCGGCTCGGTCACACAGTCTGTAATATTTTCAATTTTGTCGTGCTTTGCGACCTTTAAATTTTCCATTTCACAATCACTTTAATAACCAGTTCAAAATTCACTATAAGGTATTTTTTCAAAGCTGTCTTTTTCCACGCTAATTATAGATCCACGCTAATTATAGAATCAAGGCCCTTAATAATCGGGCGGCAAATGCAGAAGTTATTTTTAGCGTCTGCTTACCTTTCTAAGCAAAGCTTCAATGCGTTTTGCTTACATATATGGTGGCTGATTTGTGCCATTTGTGTTTCGCCCCGCGACCCCGCCAAACGAAAAGTCGAGAACTAACAAGTTAAAATGGCGGGGCACGGATCGAAATCAGGATAATCAGCGGGGGCACGGGGCGAAGTAAAATAAATAAAACTTCGTCCCACTGGGGCCCGGGGCGAGATTTAAGAAATAAAATGGCGGGGGCGCGGAGCGAAAACACGCTTATTAGCGCCCAACAATAAGCGTGTTTTCGCTCCGCGCCCCTGCCATATTAACTTGTTAATTCTCGACTTTTCGCTTGGCGGGGCGCGGGACGAAAAGGCGCGTTTTAGCGGGGCGTGGCCAAGTTTTATTTATAAATCTTCGCCCCACGCCTCCGCTTATTATCGTGTTTTCGTACCTTGACTCCGCCGTTTTATTTATTAAATCTCGCTCCGCGCCCCCGCGGGGCGAAGTTTTATTTATTAATTTTCGCCCCGCGCCCTTGCTTATTAGCGTGTTTTCGTTTCGCGAACCCGCCATTTTAACTTGTTTATTTTCGACTTTTCGCTTGGCGGGGTAGCGGGGCGAAAACACGAATGGCAGAAATCAGCCAACATATGAATCAGAATAATAATAATTTACACAAAATGTTTTATTACGTAGTTTTGTTATTGATTGGTCGGAAGTACCCTCAAACCCGTAAACCCTTTAATGATTAATTTCTAAATAAAGACAGTTATATTTAACGTCACGCTTTATGACTGAATACCACATAGAATAGAACACAAAGTAGAATCTGTACTTTGACCAAAGTGGTAATGTCATTGGCGTCCGCGCCGAAGCGCGACGCCCTTATGGATTGTGAAAGGGCGGCAGCAACTTCTCGGGCCTTTTCGTCGGCGGTCATAAAAGCCGATCATTTCGATTGGTATGAGGGTGTTTGATTGTTGCGAACAATGAATAGAGAACTGGAGAATTTGGCAATGCAAACAAATTCAAATGAAATTATCTTATCCGTCAATTAATCGCGCTCTTCGGGGTTTTTTATTAATCATTATGTAGTACACACAGTGTGTTGTGTTTTTAAGTAATTGGGGAATTATATTAAAAGTCTTTTTAAAGTTTCATTGATCTTTTTATTTTGTTTTCCATTACGGTTACACTTGATTGATAACTTGCATACAAAAGCAATGTTCCTAAAATAATAGTTTTTAGTTCCTAACATTTAATCGAACCAAAGGTGTGACAAGATTAAATTGTGATGTTCAACAGACTCTACCAACTACATCGAGCATTTTTCTCCTCTCATTTGAGTTTGGCGTCATTGTTGCTTTGTACTGAACAATATTCTCTTAACATGATCTCTAATTTCCTGCAAAAGAGCTTTTTTGTTAGTTAAATACTGCTGTGTATCAGAAGGCAAACTTTGAAATGTATTCTTGGGCGACACAAGAGTTAACTAGAGTTAACAGCATTATTCATATCAAAAACAACACTATCGAGGTGTAAATCCCAATTGTTACAGTCATCATTCATGTAGGGTGTGAGTCTTGCAGCTAGTGTAGCATGACTGCGCTCCACAGCTCCCATACAATGGTGTACAAAACTCGGGGAGAACTGTTGTGGTACCTGTAAGAGATTACATAACTCCCTAGTAACAACAGCGGTAAACTCTGATCCCTGATCTGACAATAGACAGTCACAAACACCGTATGTTGTAAATAACTTGAATAACACTTCTGCAACTGTGGTAGCATCCTTGTTGCGGATTGGTACGGCATACACGTACTTCGAAAACAAACACACTGCAGTAAACACATAATTATTAGCTCTAGTGGTGATAGGCAATGGTCCATACAAATCAATCTGCCAAACAGAAAATGGAGCATTAGGGGTAGGGTATGCAACAATAGCATTTTTCTGTTGAAATCTTGTTACTTTCCGCGATTGACACTCATGGCAAGACTGCACATACGCTGTTACCCTATTCGCCATATCTGAAAAGAAATAGTGCTCTTTTATTCTATCTAGAGTATCCTGTATACCACCATGTGCTGCAAGGGGAGAGTCATGAAATAGTTTCAGAACCGCAGGAATACATGACTTTGGTAAAACGAGCTGGTAATGTGATTGATTCACAAGTTTGCTGCGCCTGGCACGAGATACCCTGGAATGAAACAAAACATTGTTAACTAACACATAATCTGACTGCTGCACAAGAACTGATCTGGCTAACTTCTGTGATCCTGGTAGATTACCTGTTGATAAGAAATGTTTAATAGGTTTCAGAGAAGGATCCTGGTCTTGGTCAGAACTTATACGGTCAACAGTCATGTCAAGTAATGTGATAGCTGGTAATTTTATCAACTGATCAGTCGCAAAACTACTTTCATGTTGTGTCGATGTCAACAACTTGTCAGGGTCAGACGCAGTAGTGATATCTGTATCAACTGTAACAGCCCCATCAACTATATCTGACCTATCCGTATCAACTGTAACAGCCCCATTAACTATATCTGACCTATCCGTATCAACTGTAACAGCACCTTCAACTATATCTGACCTATCCGTATCAACTGTAACAGCCCCATTAACTATATCTGACCTATCCGTATCAACTGTAACAGCCCCATCAACTATATCTGACCTATCCGTATCAACTGTAACAGCCCCATCAACTATATCTGACCTATCCGTATCAACTGTAACAGCCCCATCAACTATATCTGACCTATCAACTGGATCCAGCGGACTGACATGCTGAGATGGACTTGAGGAGATGTGAATGGGCAAGTTCATTTCTAGTGAGGGTAAGTCATCATGAGCAGAACTATGTGAGCTCTGTTCATATGTACACTCAGACTTTGTATCACATTTGTGATTAACAGTTCTAGTTGGAGCATTTGGCAGGTCAACATTTGAAGGTGCATGCTCTGGCTGCATGTCTGACTTCAGTTGGTCAAACTTAGGTTTATCAACATCACTTGTAACAACTACGGGATGATTGTTATTAGTCACATTGCTCTCACACTTACTTGCAGGGTTATCAGTCTCTTCATCAACACAAAGAAATGGTTTAATACTACTAAAATGTCTATTATCATTAAAAGTCTTAGAAGTTTTTCCAATATGAGATTTGTACGAAGTACGTCGAAATTTAAACTTTCTTGAATATTTCACAGAATCATTGTCAATATTATCTTCCGTATCAGCGTCATAGAGATCACTTTGATGAGCACAAATGTCCATTTTATTCAAAAGCAAATTGTCATTCTCATGTAACTTCAGTTTTACAGTTGTAGGTTTCTCAGGCACATAAGGAAAGAACATGTCTTCTTCCTCAGGACTGCACGATAACACTTCTGGGTAAGATGGCATACGCGATAATGTGTCTGGCACAACCATTTGCGATGCAGATTTCCATTGAATATCGCAATCAAACTGTTGTAGAATCGCAAGCCAGCGTTCATAAATAGCACCTCTGAGTTGTTTTTGAAACAGAGGTTTTAGGGCTTGATGGTCGCATTCAATTATAAAATGTCTACCGCGAAGATATGATGCACAGTCCAGAACACTATTAATAAGACCAAGCAGCTCTAATTTAGTTGGCCCATACGATTGTTGCCATTTAGAAAGTCCTTTAGAGCCAAATCGCACGACACGCTTTTTTCCGTCCTCATGAATTTGGTAAAGCATGTAACCAATACCCTTTGAACAAGTATCTACTGCTAACCTGAATTCCAAATCGAATCGCGGAAATGCAAGAGCTTCTGACTTTAATAAACTGTCTTTTAGTGCTGAAAACGCATCACTACATTCTGAAGTCCAAACATATGCCGTTCCTTTCTTTAATAGTTTGTAAAGTGGATTTGCCAAGACACTGAAGTTTGGAATATACTTGCGGAACCAATTAAACAACCCTAAAGCCTGTTGTAATGTCTTGCGTGAAGTTGGTTCAGCATAATCAGCAATAATGTCCAACTTGCTTGAAGGGGGACGAATACCCTCACTAGAAATTTCATGGCCAAGGAAAACCCCTTTACTAACCCCAAATTGACATTTAGATGGACCCAATTTCAACCCAGAACTTTCAAGTCTGTTTAAAACTTCATCTAGATCTTGCAAATGCTTTTCAAATGTGCTTGAAAAAATACAACAGTCATCTAGATAGCATAAAACAGAAATAAATGTTAGATTTTTGAGTATTTTGTCCATGAGTAATTGAAATACATTCGGACTTTGACGAAGGCCCATAGGCAATCGAAGAAATTTGAAGGTGCCATAGCAAGTATTAAATGCTGTATACTTTGCAGTATCAGAGGTAATACCTATTTGAAAAAAACCAGAGCTCATATCAATAAATGACATATATCTAGGCTTAGTATCCGCTAACGACTCCGTTAGTTCTTGTAGATCTGGTATCGAATAACGAAAATCAAGTGTCTGTGTATTCAAATAACGAAAATCTACACAAAACCTGTAAGATGACAAACTCTGTTCACGATTGATATTATTTGGGTCAAGTTTTGGTTTATTACGTTTGGCTACAAGAACTATCGGGCTAGTTATCGGAACATCTTCCTGTTCATCTACTGGACTTATTATACCTTGTCGCAACAAATCATCTAACTGATGACGAAGAATCTCTCGTTTGTCAGGAGATAACCTATAAGGTCGTTGGTGTTTAGAAACTGCATCGGGCTTTAATGAAATTTTATGTTCAACTACAGTGGTGAACCCGATATCAGGGTTATCAGACGTAGTGAAAACATTTTTATGCTTATACAAGAGTTGATATAAACGATCACTATCTGATTGGGTCAAGTCACTGTTTGTTTGAAAATGTGACTTAAAATTCTCAAAATCTGTCTGATCTATATCAGATTGCGGGACCTTAGTGGAAAACGGACTGAGTTTCGAAAGTTCTTCATCAACAGGTTTCATGTAAACAGTGTCTATGTCTGAAGTATCAACAGAACTACTATTTTTCTCAACAGTCATACATGCACATGATTCTACAGGTACAATGTCATGAGAGTTATCACATAGTTCAAACTTAGCTAAAAATGTACCCTTCTGTATATGAACGATCTCATTGCCAGGGTTCAAAATCTTAACACAAACAAGATGATCTGGCAAACAAGTAACAAGAGCTTTGGAGACCAAAACACCCTTGTGTGCCAATTCAGGGTGTCCAACGAGTACACCTTGCATGCCGATCCCCACTCGGTCATCAAGTACACCCTGGATAACACACTCAGAGTTCGGATCCACAACCAAAGTCCTTGTACTTTTTACTTTTGTGGTTTTCTTAACATTCAAAGAAAAACATTTCTTACTGAAATCTAGAGATATACCATGTTCTTGCATGTATTTTGTTCCTAAAATCATAGGATGAGAAGAATCTTTCAGAACATATACAAAAATATGATGACCAACATCATGTAAAGAATTCCTAATGCAGATTCTAGCAGTAGCATAAATGTCAACAGACTGATTGTTTGCCAAAGTAATAGAGTCTGAACATGTAAAAACTTCAGACTTCTCAGATTCTGGAATTGACTCAAAAAATGACTGAGAAAGAACATTGATACTACTACCAGAATCCAATAATGCAGTAACTTGATTTTGTTTAACAAACACATTCAAATACATAAAATTATGCGCATAAGAAATATTCTGTTCAGCATGGCCCGGAAACCGTTGCGCACTCTTAGGTCCAGGCCCACTTAGTTTCCCGATTGAAGCTGTTCACACTGTTTCGCTGTATGACCGTCTGTTCCACATAGTTGGCAGGTAGATGAACTGTTAGTCGTACGCTTCGCACTAGGGTTTTTAATACAACATTTAGCATTGTGACCATTTTGGTCACAAAGCTGACACTGAATTTCTCCATCGGCTTTATCAAAGCCGTTCCAATTACAAGTATTTGGAAATGCCCCCTTCCTTGGCACTTATAACACGATCCCCGTGGAGTCCGTGGACGTGATTTACTTTGGCCGTTGCTAGACCTGGCTGCAGCAGGTACATGCAGAGCATTGGTGACCAAGTCATTTCTTGCGTAAGCAAAGGAGCTTTAGTGTAATGTTCTATAACCGTGTGCCTCACCGATTTTTGCAGAATGCAAAGCATCACGGTATGAAGTCGTTCGACTGGCACGAACAAAGAATGCCAATTGATCTGGTAAGCCCTGAATAAACTTGCTTATTATGTCGCGTTCCGGTTTTCCAAGTTGATGACCTTTTTCACTGACAAGAGAGTGAAATTCCTCAATTGGCTGTTGTGGACCCAGAGTGAGTTTGTCAAATAATGCACTTTCAGAAATGTAAATTGGGTCACTGGTATTCGAGAATTCCTTTGAAAATTCAATCTTCACTGCTTCCCAAGAATACTTGTCTGTTAATGTCATGAACCAATGTAGTGCGGGTCCTTTCAAATGGAGATGAAAAGCAGCAATTGCCCGTTGTGGCTCAGTTTCAGAGTTTATGTTTGATAAGGTGAGGAAACTTTCAAATTCTGTAATAAACTTAGAAGCATTCTCATGCATGTACCCAGAGAATTTCTGAACTATTTTGTCGGAAAACTGAACACTGTAATTTGGCACAAGATAGGTTGTACCTGTAGCTGGTGCAGCTGTTGTTGGAACAACACCAGGTGTGACTGGAGAACTGATAGTGTGTGAATGATGTCCACCGGCGACTGGGGTGAATGGAGCCATTCCGAACGGGTCACTTAACACAATTCCTTCTGTCCCAGCTGCTAACATATTTGGGTCCGTGGAGAGGTTCATTACAGAGTTAACTTAATATGAATTCACAGTTCCACAAATTGTCTCGAATCACGGCTCAACAAAAAAATCATGTCAAGCATCAAACCGACTCATCGCACGTGGTTTTCCAAGATTTGGCATTTTAGCGCAGATAATGTCCCTCAAATTCATAATAATTAGATTTTCAAAGTTATTAAATATGTCCATTTAGATTCTCCACCATGTTTGCGTTTCTAATTAATTGGGGAATTATATTAAAAGTCTTTTTAAAGTTTCATTGATCTTTTTATTTTGTTTTCCATCACGGTTACACTTGATTGATAACTTGCATACAAAAACAATGTTCCAAAAATAATAGTTTTTAGTTCCTAACATTTCATCGAACTAAAGGTGTGACACCACTAAATTGTGATGTTCAACAGACTCTACCCACTACATCCAGGAATATATCAAGTGGGTTATTGTGTATTGCTGTACCTGTAAATAGAATGATGACCTTAACATTGCTAAAGTCCGCAAATCTATTTATAGAAGTAGTTTTAGTTAACGAAACGGTCATTCGTGTAGCGCTATGATTATAAATAACGAAATGGAGAATTTTGCAGGGAATGAAATATGAAAATATTCAAACAACTAATTGCACTTTGGATATTATAGACCTGTTTATTTTGGATATTATCGTTAATATTGATAGAATTTCAAGTTCCTGTGGAAAAAAATATTCTTATCTCTAGCATGCCTACCAAAGTTCATGATGAACAATGTCTTTCCAACAATTATTCAAAGCACAGAAGGCGCTGAATTTGTTTGGGTCTCAGAATTTCAGAAAGGTGAAGGTTGTGAGATTATAAACCAATTTGTTTTTGTATAGCGCCACCAATGCTTTCCAGTGTTTTTACTGTATTAAATTGGCTTTAAGACTAATTGCAACACTGATATTCAATTCAATGTTAATTTGACTTAAACAATTTAAAAAAAATATGAGTTGAATTTATTATTGAAAAGTTTATAAGAATATCTGGTCATCAGATATCTACTAGTTCATCTTCACTTGCTGTATTTCTTGCATGGACGCCCTTTGATGCTTTGCATCAATGCTTTTCTTGTAAAGATTATGTAATAGAACTGGTACATGAATTGGAAAATGGACGTAAAAAGTGTCAAAGCAGATGCGATTTAAACAGACGACAATTAAACAGAAACCAAATAATTTCTCCTTGATAAAGGTTATTGATAGGCTTTTTGTTTCTGAAAATGTCAACCCACATCTACAATTTTCTTGTACATTAAAATAGAACATTGCAGTTCTGTTCAACGTTCGTTATCAAATATTGTGTTACCAAAAGAAATTTCTTTTATTTATTTTTATCTGTCTGTAACCCACATATACCCTTTGTTTTAAATACATGTACCTGTATATCTCGCATTGTTAAGCATTAGAGTTATACATACAGAAACGAAATTTATACTTCAAAAGACGATTTTCTTTTGAATTTGGTTTTGATAACAGCCATAAGGCTGTTGAAAAACTGATTTTATAACAACAAAACCGCTTTGTTATGATATTTTCTATATAACAATTGCAATCATGACTTTGAATATGCTAGTAAGTGCATGGAAAGTGGCAAATGGCTAGATAAATTTACCCATTGCCAACTGACCGCTAGCATTACATGACATAGAACCTTAATTTGCTACACTTCACAATATCACACGGCCTCACAGTCTTTTGTATAACAAATCCCCAAAACGAATGATATAGGCTTTTTGTTTCATAGAAATCGGGATAAGGACATCTTAACCAGAAAACATTACAGAAACATACAATTAATAGTTTCGTCAATATGAAATGAAAATTATTTTATGCTTTTCAGTGGATTACTGATTTATCCGTGAAAATTATATTTGATAATTTCACAGTGAAAATTATCAAAATATAATTTCACTTTTTTCAATGACGAAACTACTTTTTTAAGATTTTCCCCATGTGGTACCTCAATTTTATTTTTACCGACAATTCTGACAATGTCAGGCTGTTAAAAGAAATAGCAAAGCTGAAATAGATAAATAACTTAAATGTCAAAAGTAACACAGAGAGAAAACTTACTTCTATTCCTTCAAAATTCCAATCACCAAATTTTGTCTCTAATTTTTTTTTTGTTTCGTTTTTAAAGTCTGAAAAATACATTCCTTCCCCATGCAAAACGGGCTCTTGATGACATTTGGGCATATTAAAGTATCCTACGAGCAATAACTGCCGTATGCTTTATGAAAATTGAAAAGCATTGACAGCCATCACTCGTAAAATAAGTTAAAACAACCCAGCGTTCCTTCAGCAAGCTTCCCAATTTTTCCATTTTCCTAGCTCCTTTTCTGAATGTTTTCACTTCTGTCAACACTTATTTTTTGTCTGTTACAATCCTCAAATAAGTTTTCTTTCTTTTAAAAAGGTGTATGACTAACAAATCCAAATTATATCCTTCTGAATCTTACACAATTATTTTCCTCCATGAAATACACAACTTTAAAAAATGGCTGCCGTTTACATTTTAGAAAGCCAGGTCTAATATAAATTCGCAGTAAGTAACAGAAATATGGATGGATGGTTGGAATTTTCTCCTGCAAGAAGTGTTTGTTTTTTATGATTAAAACAAGCGATCATTCATATTTTTTTAATAAAATGAATAAATATCACCGTCATTTAACCTTGATTGGCGGACTTATTTTTCAGCTCAAGACTTCTTGTTTTAAATGAGAAATTCCGTCTAAATGGGGCTCTCAATGGGGGAAACAGATTTTAATATTAACGTTAAAATTATGGAAATTTCGTTTTAACTTGTTTTTAAGCATAAAATAAAAAGAAAATTTGTCTGTTTGTTGTGTAAGATGTAATTTTATTTCATCTCGTGAACTTTAAAAACAGTATTCTCACTCGTTGCTACGCCACTCGTGAGAATACTGTTTTTAAAGCTCACTCGATGAAATAAAATTTCATCTTACACACAAACAAACAAATATCCTCTATATATTTAAAAAAAGAAACTATTTCTCGCAATTTTTCTAACATAAAATTTTATAAAATCTTCATTTGTGGAATATAATGAAAGGTGTTTTACAACTCTGCTATAAAACATTAAAGTGGTCACATGTGGAAACTTATTGCAAAAAAAACAACAAAATCTATTTATTAAAATTTGCACGAGCTCGTGTAAAAAATGTCTAAAGACCAAAAAATAACATGAAATATATAAACCAATATCAACAAGGAAGGGCGGCATTCAATGTTCGCATGAAACCACATAGTCATGAATGTATTTGGTTGAGACTATTATAAATGGAAAGATATATACTATATATGACGTCGTTATGAATCTATAATGTGATCGGTTTCTCTCTTTCCCCTGCTAAAATCAAGAGAAGGTTAAGTATTATATTAAAAAGTATCAATTTCAGTACAAATGAATCGATGTTAAATCAACACTGATGATCCCTTATTCCTAACCATATCTTTGTTATCATATTTTTACTAGTAATTAGAAGTGTCTTTATATTTATTTATGGACAGTCCATTTTGAAGTTATATAGGTAAATGGAATGTTGTACATCAAGATTGCTTATTACCATTAGTGATAATACTTTGTCAATGTTTCAATGCTTTAAATTTCCATGTAGGGTGAAATTGCTACTGGCGTATAATAAAGCCGTTTTCTCTTTATTCCAAGCAGTTTCATTAAATCTTATATTGATTTCTTAATTGCGTATTCAACATTTTATGTAACCTTGCAAGTGAATTTTTAATGAAACAGAATTCATATTAGAACTATCAATGGTAGCTGTTATTTTCATACTTGTCATTGATACTAATATTTATAAATATTTAATATTTTTAAAAATCAAAAAAGAGCTCGAAAACATAATTTGTATGTATTTTCATAGAGTTTTCAGATATTTTCGACCCAAATAAAATATCTTTTTCTAACAATTTTCATATTCGATGCGACGTCTTCCCTATTAAATGTCATGTTCTAAATGAATTTCGAAGAAGTATGACCTTTCTGTAATAAATCGAATGCAGTATGTTATGATCATACATTGCCATCATGGAATATGAGAAGTTTATATTAAGGGGAGGACTGATAAAAACGAAACGAAAATTAATACATTTTATCAAGGG